AGTTGGGAGCATTCATCAGTGGTGATACATATATGTTATATATATATATATATGCAATATCGAACAATTTATGTAAACCATAGTATAGTTTTTTAGTATATATGATTCTCAGATAGATATTTTTTTTTCCTTTTCCGTAATAATTTTTTGTAAACATCTAAAATGAACTTACTTCCTTGAGGAATCTGCTGAGGTTGTTGTGGAACTAAAAATAAAAAGGCATGGAATTACTTATTAAATCATGATTAAAATTATATTTGTGTTTATGTTATAATATTATTTTAACACATTTTATCTAATTAATGATTATAGCTTGTAAGTATCTTACTAATATGTAAGAAAATATCATTTAAAAATGTCACACTTGCGAAAATAATTAATTATTGTTCGATTAATTGCACTAAATTATCCGGCATATATATATAGAACTGAAAAAATTCAAGATGATCACTTTATGCTGCAAATTTCAATACCTATGTTAAAAAGTGTCATTTTTTATGAAAATTATCAAAGCTTCGGGTCTATGCTCCAGCTTGCATTTTTTTAGTTATAGGTATGCACTTGTAATTAGTTTAAAGAGAAGTTTTTTTAAAAATATTGTTTAGAATACTTTTATGAAATCTATATTTGGTATTACAAAAGGATTTTTAAGAGAAGCATGAAAATATTGGTAAAAATGAACCATATTTTTTTCTCCAAAACTAATAGCTTTTTTATAGTAAAACATTTATGAAATAAAAAGAAACTTTATTGAAAAAAAAGAAATTTCACAATTATTTTTCTCCAAAAATGACTTAATTTATTATACAAATTATACAAAACTTTAGATTTTGTAAAAATATCAAGACAATGCAGATGAAAGATTGACTTAAATTTTGTTACGTACTTGTGTGATAGGTTGGTGCTGAAAAAATCAGTTATATTTTTAACACGACATAAAAATATAAGCACGTATTTTTACACATAATTTTAAATCAAAGATGTATGCTGACAATAAATTTTAAGTCTGTTCCTTAGAATTTTTTATAGTTATGCCTACTATCAAATGTATTTGAATATTATACATAATTGGTACTAATTGGTAGGCAGTGGATAATATCTAAAGATAAGCTTTAATTTGGTATTGTTATAAAAAAGAGCATTTTGATGTATATTATATCAAATATATCAAAATATCAAAATTATATCAAAATGTCATGAGATGGGAGGAGTGCGCAATTTTGGTGCATAATAAGGAGTTTGCATAGCACCATGAAGAAGAAACACAATGTTGCATTATTGTAGAATCTGTGATTAGAAGAGTCAAACTATAACTCACATAAATTATTACATTTTATTTAATATATGGTTAATTGTTAAAAATACAATTCGACAGTAAAAATATATTCATACACTTAAAAAAAATAATACTACAAAAACAATTGGTCTGTCCGAAACTACAAAAATAGTACAATATGTAGTTATAGAATTTTTTTGCGCAGCTTCTTTTATAAATTGTTACAAATAAAACTGAAACTATCTAAATAATTTCTTTATATCAATTCAGTTCAACTCATTTTTAGTTACGCTGCTAATGCTCTCTTAATATTACTTCTATGTTAGTTTAGTAGCAAATAACTACATTCATCATATTGTGAGAAAGATTATTCCCAGGGGTATTCCCTTAAAAATATTATCGCATCAATATAAACAATTATTATGCTTTATAAGACGTAATAATAGTCGATTGTGTACTTACGTGCGATATTATTAACATCGCACAGTAGATTTATTTTGTGATACTACTAATATCACATAACTTATTTAATTAGCGATATTACCAATATCGTAATTACAAAATCTCACCGTAAAACTGTATTGTTTTAAAAATAATGAGGAAATGCATTTATGCTAGGATTAACATAGCTATTCCAGAATTTTCTTTGATTTGATAATTAAGAGCAAGATAATTAGTTTTATGAAAAAATGTCGAGTTTTATTTCGATATGGGTATAAAATAACTTGATTGAATCAACTACTCAATTTTATTTAAATTTTATAAATATAGCAAAATGTTTTAAAAATATTCTAAATGCACTTTCCTCTCGGGAACATATAATGGCAGTTGTTTTTAACTCAATTTATAAATTTACCATAATATACTTACTTAGCTCTCCTGAAAAGGTTTAAAAAGTGTAAGTAATATAAAATAGCCAATACAAAAATATCCGAGCAACAATAATCCACTCTTAGAACACCGAATCTAAGTAAGCCTATCTAAGTTATTATTTAGTTTAGCATAACAAAAGACCAGAACCTTCATCAAGATCTTGAAATTAAAAGAGTATATTTATATGTCTTCGTTTGAAGGTAAAGTGAATACACCATTTTGAATAACTGAGTAAATAAGGTTCATTACCACACGATAAGCTAGGAATTGATGCAAGCATCAGATATATAACTACTATCTTTTTTATAGAAAAATTCATCAATAGCCTCAAATATAATAACTGTTGAAAAATACAGTTACAATATGATCATTGATTTTTTCGAGCAGAAAATACAATTTTCCCTGAAATGTTACTTAACATACACTTTTACTAAGTATCTATGATATTTTTATGCTGGAGCTCATTTCACAGTAGTTGAAAAATTTAATTCCATTAAAACTTCTAATAGCAATTAGAACAATGAAAAAAATAGTATATTTTTTTCGAGAAACAATGCTTTCATTCAAAATTTTGAATATACGGAACAAATTAGTGCTCTTTTTTAAAATTCAAATCAAGAATTTATCATTCTCAGATACATCAATTTCGTAGAATTTAAAAATTTTCAAAACCTCTTCTATCCTATCTTAGCCTTATTGTTACAGCGTTCTAGCAAAATACATTTTTAAACCTAATAACAAACTTTTTTAAATGATTTTTTCTAAGACGAACACATATCATAAATGAATATATTTATTTAAGAAAATACTGTAATGCTATCAATTCTAAACACCTTATTGTCATTTATCACGTGTTACTCTTCTAAATTATTAAAACTAAACGGTGCAATAGCCCATGGTGGATCAAGTCTAATTGTTCCCATCCCAGTTTCCTTGATCTTACGCTCTGGGATTCAAGAGCAGGTGCTCCGATTGTGTGGTCAGACAAGCTTGGATTCTAGTCACCAAGCATATTTCGTTATCGACCTATTAACGGCAGGGAAGGATGAGTCAACCTTGCCCAGTCCGAGGATAAAACACCAGACCTGAGGCACGGGAGCACGAAGCTCTTCCACTTAGCCACTGAACCTCTTCAATATTATTTTTCATAAATTAATTGTGCTACTTTAATACAATAAATAAAAAAAATATTCGATACATATTTAAAAAATATGATGTGTTAAAATCTGAATTTTTCGTGAATAAGCATTAAAAATATCTATAATGTCAATATGACTGGATTTTAATCTAAAGTAAATCGCTTATGTTAACTCACTTAAATAAATGATTCCTAAGCAATTATAGAATGTTTAGTTAATTTTTTCGACCAGAACAATGTCTGCAACATGCTAACCCATTTCCTACTAATACGGATCGCCTCCACGTTCATTGGAGGAAAATTAACCCCTTTCTTTTCGTTCTCGTGAAAATGACGGGGTGAGGTTTCGTCTTCTATTTCTCGCTCCCGTGATATTGACTGCCTGGAGAATTCAGTAGTAACTCGCCAATAAGAATAAAACTAATTCATTTCTTTTTTGCCCTGAAGACATTTTATTTGTCATTTTACGCACCAGATGGCAGTACCAGGATATTTTGAAGGTAATTGTAGATAGTTTATTTTAAACTAGATGTCAGCACTAATCAAATACGTAATACAAATACAAAAGCCAAAATAGGCACTTTTATGACCGTTTTCTTGAAAATTCACCGATTGTTAAGGGATTAACGCGTTCCTTATATCGAGAAGGATCACAGCAATTCGCCAATGTTATTGAATGCTGTACTCATTACAAGTCAGTCACTTGAGATATTTTCAGTCAGCATTTCAATAAATTTAGTTTTTACGGGGAAAAAAATTTAAAAAATACCAGCAACAGTCCAATGACAAATTAAGAGCGAATGTTTAAAAATGATCCTAATCAATAAAGCATATCCAGCATTTAAGGAATATTTTAGTAGTTTCATTTAATTTCATTTACAAAAAATAGTATAATGACCAGGCCATTTGGTAAAGAACAAGAAATCAGATCTGCACATTTTATCTTAAAATATATACTTACGTCTAATGTTTGAGATTTGGGCGCCTGAAAATAACAATTTAATTTTTCTATATTATTCAATAAAATATGTACAAAAATTGTTAGAAACGTCATGATGAGAACTTTGAACCAAACAAAACTAAATACATTTTTTAAAATAAGTTTATTTGCTTTGAAATAAAAATGGAATTGTGCCATGGAAAAAATAATAATTTTTTCTCGTTATTGATTAATATAAGATTCTCAAACTGTCTTTTCCAATGAATTATAATGCTAATTTTTAAAAAAAAATATTTAAATTATGTTTCATAATCGTATTTTGCAAAAACAAAAGTCTTAAGAAAAGTAATTATTAAACTTAGAGTGCTTTGCAGAAATACATTTTGATAAGTATTTTAGCAAATCGCTTATCTTTTTTATTAAAATAAAACCTTTTATTTTAGTATTACTTGATTGGTTGTATAATAATTAGTACAAGTTTTAGTATTTCAAACAAACTTTTCTCTTTAGTTTACTTTAAATTAAGAACAATGAAAAATATAGTACTCACTTGAAAGTTGATCTAATAAGCTCTCTGAAAGAAAATGCGTTTCTTAGCCTAAGTTTATAATTAAAAACAACAACTTTCATATAATTAAAACCAAATTTCCTTAATTTTTTAACAAACCCTTAGTTTATTATATTTAGTTTATTATATTTAGTTTATTATATTTAGTTTATTATAGTTTATAATGAAATGGGGTAATTTTGATAAGGTTATTATTCAATGAATGAACACGTTTTTTATGATTATATTAAATTTAATTTAACAAAAGCACAAAAATTGGCTAGATATATATTTCGGCTTTCATAAATTTACTACGTTAATGACAATTACAAAAAATTAATAGCATTGAAATGATTAGAAAAATATATAAAATTTCGAAACATGTTATTTTCAAGTTCAAGTCTAAATTTCATAGAAAAATTTATTTCATTTCCCAATTTATTTTGAATCAATATTAGCGTATTATTTTAGAAAATTTATATCTCATATATTCAGCACAAAATGTGTGTAATATGATTTAAATAAGTGACTTAAAATCATGTCAAAAACATCATGAAAATACTTTAAAGATAATTGAAATATTACCAACTAAATTAAGAAAATTATAAGATGATAACTAACTCATGAGAATTAATGCTGATAATATGGGTTTTTCAGTGAAATTTTTTAGTAATCTTAAGGAAGTGCTGTGTAGTGCGATGAGTGCTGTGCAGATTAATGCTACACATGAAGGTGCTGCATGTATTAATGCTACACAAATTAAGGTTATTGCCTTTAAATAACTTACTTGTATGCATACATTAATTTTGAAATTTTATATATTTGTAGAAAAACTAAAAATTCCTGTAATAAAGAAACTTCTTTATTGACTAATTTCCAAATTGCAAAAAGTAGTATGTTAGTTTATTTTTGAATATATTCACATAAAGTTGTTTTATAAATGTAAAGAAAATTGATAATGCAGCGAGCTAATTCCTATTTTTCTTACTTCGAAATATTTAAATACATTAGTTTAAAAAAAGTGTTAACTTTGCTCAATTTTATTTCTCTAAAGAAATACTTACGGGGTATTTGGCTGAAGCCTATAAAGATAAAATAATAATAAATTATGTATCAATAAATCTATGTATCAAGAATAATTCTATAAGAATTAATAGTTCTAAGAGTAGTTATATAACATAATTTGTATATAGATCATTATAATTAATAATTATCTTGAACCCATTTCACAATCCTAATTAATACTTATGATAGTTAAAATGAGCGATAAAATTGTAAAGCACATGGCTGCTCGAATTTTATATTAATTCATCTGCCTCAATAACAGAACAAGAATGTCTGTTTTCATATACTGAACAAGAGATAGTGGTTTTGATACGCATTGAAATTTTTTTACGTCTCATTTGACTAAATTCTTTATTCTCTGATACATTCGGGTAAATAAATGAACTTTAATCATTTTTATAACCTCGTGTGAATATTTATAAATTCTATTAGTTCTAACGAATTAGAAATTTAATTATTGAATAGAAAACCAATTATTATTACTTAATAGGAAAATAAATTTTTTTCTATCTAATCATGAAGATTGTGGAATTTTTTTAGTTGCTTAAAGAAAAAAAAATTGCAATAGAATTTAACTCAAATGGTTATCATTGTAACGCCTCCTTCGAAAAGACTATTATCTGCAGCTTTTCTAGTTTATTGATTAGGTATGCTGTTCTAATGTTCTATAAAACTTAAACAGTGCGAAAACAAAACGGAACATTGATTTTAATCTCCAATATTAACCGTCACATGCGCACTTTTTCCCACTTTAAACTAACGAATAACTCATGTTTCATCAAATTTAGTCATACCATTGTTATTGACACTATTTTACATAACTATTATGTGAAAAATACAAAAAAATTCAAAGATTTTTTAATTTTCTATCAAAGCCTTAAGCCAACATTTTCAGTTCTCTACATGACATATACAATACGGGAATATATACAATATCTGGTAGTATTCACGACAAAAGTGTCATCTAGTGTTTTGTGTTTACTATCATATTTATATTCATATCGAGTAATATGCAATGATCATGTTCAAAATATATCTTATAAATTTTCTCCAGCAGTTAAACAGACCCTTATGTGGTAGTAATGATTCATAAGATTTCAATAGTGCTTTTCATTTTTCCTCCATTGAACATTAGTTTGCGTTTCCTAATGCTTTATCTGATTTTTGACAATTTTTAAGTGTTTCAAACCTTTTTTTAATTACTCTCTGTTTCTTCCAACTATCATACATATTTATATTTTCTTGTTTAAATAGTTTTTTTGCTGCAGCAGATGGGCAATAATTTTTTAATTTTTGACTCATATTTGACAAATATTCTAACAATACATATTAAAAAACGGTCAATTTGAAGCTTTTAGTGTTTTTCAATCGCGTAAGTTTTTTTACAAAAAGTAATTAGTTCGTCAGAATAAATTTAAGAAGATAGAACAATTAGTAAAAGGATTATATAGTTTTCAAATAATATCCAAAAATTAATGAATTTTTTTTTAATATTTGTAATTAAAAATGTTTATATTGAAAGCAAGTGCATTGATAAGGTGACTATACTCTTACTTACTTGAAAATTCTGTGCAAAAAATAAAAGTGAAAGAAAAGAGTTTATTAATGAAAATTTATTTCAGTAATCAAAAAGTTAATTTAGCACTATAAGTGCTTTATTAAAAAAATAAATTCTGCTTCATAAATTTTTCAATATCAGGATAATATTCAAATAATATAATAATAATTAAAAAAACATATTGTGATAATATTAGTAAATGTAATGCTATAATAATATTAGAAATATAAATTTAGAATTATAAATGCTTTTAATTTCACTAACTTAGAAAATAAAACAAGGTTTTGATATAATAAGTCTAAAAATAAATTTTCAATTAGCATTAGCGAAAACGTTAAATTTAAAGATCCAATTACTGCTGATTTAATAAAAGAGGGACACTTTGACTCAATATATCAGTTTAGAATAAAATTAAACATTTTGAAGGTGTACTTACGGAAGGTTTCTATTGAAAAATTATCAAAAAAGAATTTAGTAAATACTCATACATTTTTATACATATTTCTATATTTAAATAGTATGCTTCAATGCTTAATTTGACTTCATTAGTAATTATAGAAACTAAATGCATAAAACAAAAAATATGCAATACAAATGAATAAAATATGAAGTAATTTCTGTTTTCAGTTTTAAATTTAATTTAATTTGGAATGGATTACACCATTTCCGTAAGAATTACATCCGTAGGAATCACACAAGTTGATTTGCTTGAAATTCTATTTAAATCTTTAATAAGGATTGATTTAGTCAGTTTAGTTGCCTCAATTGGACAAATTCATTTAATTCTTATTTAAATTTTAAACAAAAATAAACCACATCTTTACTAATTTCAGTTATTAAGTTGTTGTAGTAAATAATTGCAGTTCATTAAAAAGAAATGTAACAGGTTAAAAACAATGTTAGAAGAATAAAATAAAGTTTTATATTTAAGAATTAATTTTTCAAAAAATCAAGTGACTTGCGATTACTTGAGTTGTTTTTGTGAAATTAGATTTTCTTTGTGAAAATGAAACATTAGGCGATAAACTGAAAAAGTTTTTATAACGTTCCTATTTTACCATTACTAGTTTAATATTAATAAACATAGAAAATACCAATAAGCGTACAAAAACATTATTTGTGAGTTTTATCAAAGTGAAAAAATATATTTTACTACATTTTCATTTGTACTATAAGTCAAACGTATAAGTAAAACTTTATATGACTATAGATCCAATTTTGTTGTCAATAATAGCATCGAGCAAATACTTACGTTGGTCAGCTTAAAAAAGAAAAAGGAAAAAAATATTTTATGAATATTTAGATTAGGAAACACATAATACAATTTCAATGTGAAAAAATTGTATTATATTAGTTTTATCAATTTTATATTAAAATCGCTTTGAAATACTAAGTGGAACATACATGTATATGAATATTCATGAATATCTGACATTTTTTTTAATTTGTAAAACAATATATGTAAGTTGGCTGTTGAATTTATAGAAAAGTTTTTCTTCTTCCCATTGACCAGTTGTATCATTTTTAGCAGAGGCAACTTTTTTTTTAAAATTGGAAAATTTTAAACGGTTAAAAAAATTTAATAAGCATTTCGTTGGGAGCATTTCTTCAAATATGGCACGCATTATATGGTTTATTTCTAGGATTTAAATGAGTAGCAATAAATAAAGAAAATCTGTTTAGAAACATATTTAGGCTCTTGTGCTTAATACAAAGAATACAAAGCCTCTTTTTAAATTTAAAAAAAAAACAGATTACGCAAAAATAAAAGAAAACAGTATAGAGATATTGAATCTACTATTAGAGTGCTTGATGAAAGAACTACAGGCATTGGCAACAAAAGCACGAATGTTTTTTCTAACTTGTAATAATTTTATGGAGATTTGGTTGACGTGCTGTGCTGCTGTTCAAAAGCATACTTGAAAAATGTTTTTAAGCCATTCTTTGTATTTACAGAGGAACCTATTTATGGATATGAAAAAAATAAACAAATCCTACGACCCCATGAAAAGATGCATAAAACTGACACTGTAGCTTGATTTATTGATCCATCCAACTTTAGTGTCCTTAAAACACTAAAACCCATCAGTTAGGCCCATTTTAACTTTGTTATGATCGAAAAAATGCATTAGAAAAATAAATAAATTACCTTCACCTAACCCTCATATACCATTTAAAAAACCCCACTATTTTAAAAAAATCATTGTTGTGTAATTAGATTATTACAATACTGTTTGGTGAAAGAGATATACATCAAAAGGTTAAAATTACCAAACAGTAAAAGTGCTGATAACACTGAAAAAGAGATCGGTAATATTATTGTGATACCTCAGAGCTTAGTGAATTCCCTTTTCAGTTTTGAATTGTTATTAAATATAGGGTGTTAAGAGCTGCGATTCTGAAAACCAGAACTTCCGGTAAACAATTAGCGTAATTAACAGAAAAATTAAATACTTTGGTTTTTAATATCAGAATTATGTTTCTTTTACCAGAAATTTCATTACTATATAGTACGGTAATTTTACAGAATTTTTTCTCCGTCTACCATCATATCATTGTTCTCGGTATTATCGAGGATGCGGGATGATTTATATACAATGAAGGACAGAAATGTTTTTACTATTAATTTTACATATTTTTTTAGCGGGTGATCACTGGCTGACAGCCATTATTTTTGTTCTGTATGGTTTGAAACATATATATATAAAATAAATTAATGAACACTTTAGTTTCTAGAACTAAGGAAAGGAATCAGATTATTTTATTTCTTAAAAATTCTTTTTTGTGTATTTAAAGAAGAATTGCTGCTAAATGGTTCTCAAAATATACAGCTAAAGCCTTAAAATGCCGATGACATTTTCTAATTCAGTAAAAATTTCAGCTTTCAAAAGCCTTTTAAACAATTATTGTATAATAAACTAATGGATATTTTATTTTAAAAAATTAAAATTACGTGTTAAACAAAATGAGACATTAATTTTTTCAAAAATTGATTAAGAAAACGTTTAATTTTTAAAAATATAATTGTTAAAAATAACTGAAGCCTAATCAAAGTGGTGACAAAAACGGAATTCATTTTAAGTGTTAAGTTTGACTCAAATATTGTTAACAGTAATATTTAGACTAATGTTTACAAATAAAGAAATTAAAAACATATTCTTACTTGGTTGTCCACCTCCTTGGCCGCCTTTAAAAAATAACAAATGTATTGTAAGTTTTAAAGTACAATATTTATTTATATCCTTGCGTAATAATATGATTTATTCACTTAACAATACTATCACTTAACAATCACTTAAACAATAAATAATTATTTTAATATTAAAAAATTAATCTAAACAAACTAGTTTTTAGTATTGTAGAAGTTAATAGAAACTTACCAGGTACTTCTAAAATTTAAATAATATGCTAGTAAGTTTTTTTTATTAAATCTATAATACATTTTTTTTTATTTTAACGATATGCACAAGTAATAACTTTTTACTGGAAATAATAATACACTTTTTTATATATCTTCAGTAATTTCATTTTATTATGCAATAATCCTTAAAAGGGAGATATCAAAATATTTTCTCATGGATAAATTAATCTTAAATTTTTAAACATTTTATAAATTTTAGTTTAATGAATCACACGAAAAAAATTAATATTAATTAATAATTTATTGATCTTTTATTAACTGCATATACTTACGGTATGTTTGAACTCCTGAAAAGAAAAAAATTCATTTTGATTACATTGGAAATACAAAACTTTGTTGAGATTTAAAACAGTCGGATGCAGTAAAGCACAAATATTTATGAATTTTAAAAATACTAAACATTTCTCAATGTTTTTCTTCTTGCTTCCCAGATAACATGTACAATGCACAAGGAAACGGTCCACCCTGAATAACTTTTGAGCTAATGATCGAATTTTCACTTTCTAGAGCTCTATGTGAATGGATCGAGAGGTAATCTCAAACATGCTAATTAATTAGTGCAGACTATAATTTAAGTTAATTTAAGTTATGAAATCAGACGCAAATCTTACTTCCTCTGAATAAGCATACCTTTTTTAAGTTAGATTTGGATTTATAACTCTCAAAATATAGTAAGTAACCACAATTTGATAAATATTGTCTAAATAACTCGGTCAGGAAAGCTTCAGCCCCTTTGGTCTTCTTAGTTTTGGCCCCTTAATATTAATCTTAGTTTTTGCGTATTTAACTATATCTCATGAACTTTAAAAATGAATTGAAAAACTTACTGTAATAAAATTTGTTTAGCCAAAGATAATTCCACGCAAAAAAAACTTTTAGCAAATTTTTCTTATTTTTTATGATTTCATTTAATAATAGTCGAAAAAATTTGAATTGTAGGAGCATAAATACTTCTCATTAGTTTTATATTTTATGTAATCATATTTATTATATTCTACTTATTTATCTTTAAGTTCTCTAATTCACATTTTTTTTCAAATGTGTCTAAAAGAAAAGATTAATTGTCCAAAAATATCCAATATTTCTTTATCGTTCGGATTTTCATCGTTCTATCTATATTTTATTCACAAACAATCAATTGTTTCTGCAACAAAAATAATAAAACTATCTCTATTTATAAGTTGTAGCGAGTTTAAAATTTAAAATAATACATTAAATAGCCCGTAATCGGAGACACTTGTAGAACATTATTGCTTAAATAAAAATTGTATTCGTGTAAAGTTTATATAACTATAAACTCATATCGCAATTCTCACATTTTAAAAATAAATAAATTAATGCTAAAAATTTAATTTATACAAAGAAAATAATACATACCACCACCTCCATTTCCATCTGAAATCAATCCATATTACTTGAATGCTTTTCATTATGCATATACATTTATATTGCTCAATAGGACTATATAAAAAGATCACTAAATATTATGTCAATGAAAATAGTGTCAGTTAAATATCATTTAGAGAAATAGAAATAAACTTATTGTTAAATTTCTTTTTAACAAAAGGGGGCAAATAATTTTAAATTGATAAAGATAAAAATTGTTTGCGATGTTAACTTGTTTATGTGTTTAAAAATGTTTAAAAAAATATATGAGTAAATGATATAATGCAAATAGAATACTTACTCAAAGCCTCTAAAGTAAAAGAGGAAAGAACATTTAAACAACATAGACAAGAAGCAATTAAGTAATAATAAATTTTATTATTAAAATTTGATTTTAAAATTTATTATAAAAAATTTCTTTGGAAAAATGATTATATACATTCTTTATTTATAGTTTCTTTATAATTCCTTAAAATAGTCTCTACAATTCACTCATTCGTATTTATTTGTATAAAACATTTCTTACATAAGCATTTGATTAGATGTAATGGTTTAAGTTATGCTTTTAAGTTATACATTGAAAGTTATGCTTTAATTGTTTTTGATCGACAAGGAAAAGAATAATTTCTACGCCATCCAATAAATTAAAAACTAAGTTAGTGTTGAGCACTTTTTAATTTTTTTTCTCAATATAAGTTGTTAAAATAAGTTGCTCATAAGTGTGATATTTGTGAGAAATTATTTTTAACTTTTTACATATTTAAAATAATTGCTAGCTATGTTAGGTCATTAAGTTATTATGAAGTTATCCAGTTATTATTTTTCCTTTACATTTATTATTCTGTATTGTTCAAAAGAAAACAAAGTTAAATGAATCATGTTACTCTGCATAAATTTAAGCATGTTAAAAATATTAATGAAAAAAAAATTCTTACGTCGTATTTGCTCAACCTGGTCACCTATATAAGGAAAAGAACACAATTTAAGAATGTTTTCGTCTGATTTTAAATTTTTTTCAGTGTATCTGTACTTAATTTTTAATACAGCTAGAAGTAAGATTAGAAATGGAAGCTACAGTTTTAGTAAATTGCTTTAACATCTGATGAAACATAAAGCCTAAAATTTACATTTTAAATGTATTTTCTTGATGCTAATGTCTGAATAGTGTGTACTTCCTTACGTGATTGAAATCACTTTAAACTTTCTCCTTAGATTTGTAACTTATTTTAAGGAAAAGCAACGGAATTACAAAATAAACACATGCCTAAGCTTTAATTCTGTGACCCAATGAATATACTCAAGTTCATATGGTGGTAAAATATTATAGAACCCTCATTAGTTAGTGATTAGTGATACGAATAAACTATTATACCAACACGGTGTCCTAAATTAGATTTATAGTTATCGAAAAATTCATCTAAAAACAGCTATAGTAGAGAAAACTGTTCTTACTGAAAATTCAAGAGAGACGAAATTGATTTTTCGTTACTTAAGTTTTCTTAATTTCTTAATAATTTTCATTGTTTTTTAGGTTCATTATTTGCAGTGGTATGTGAAAAAACATTTTTGAAGAAAAGTCAGAGACTAAAGGAGAAATATTTATGCTTTTTTACGTGATTTTTTTAAACGTTAATATTTTACATGTTATAACATTTTTAAAAACCAGCAGACTAATTTAGTGCACCATTCATTTACTTATTTATATCACATATCTTTGTATATATTTTAATTTTTTAAGCTTTTCAAAATGTGTCACTTGTTTTTTAACAAGAAATAGCGTAAAACATATTTAAATATTTTAAAAATTCAATGAGACCGTTTTGTTTTGTTATATTTGTTTCAAAGTGCATAGCTAATTCTTTAAAATAAGTTATTATTATTCCACTAACATGGCATAACTTTTATTATTGTTGCTGTTAATAAGATGATACTCTTTTTGCTAAAATAACCCAATTGTAGTTGATGAACTTATACGTGATAATTGTAATTATTCGTGAGTAAAAAAGTTCTTTCAACACAATAAATAAGAAAGTTATTTTCTTTAATTTTTTTAATTACTTCTAAGCTCACAGAACACGTAATAAACAAGAGTAGGATCTAAAGAAGCAAAAGAAATATTTTTTTTTAAAAATTAGTTACAGATTAATGTGTTTTTGCACCAAAACGTTTTCAACTTATTTTAAATTTTTATATCTCATTGACTTGATTATCTTGAATTATTCTATTTTAGCATTTTAACATTCAAATGTTATTTCATCAAACCCTATATGTTTTTTACAATTCTGCTATGTTATATTAATTTATTTTTCATTCCATTAGTTATGTATAAAGTAACTTCATGTACATAGCATATATTTCATAAATACGGCAAGTTAAAATTTTCAACCCTTCACCGATTCTTATTTAGTTGCGTAATAAAATAAATTTCTTTAAATAAACTTACTTGGCATTGCATCCAAAACTGATTCTGAAAGAGAAATTAAATATGATGCATAATTCTCAAGGCATTTTCACTTTCTACTTATCCTTTCAATTTACTTACACATGCACTTTCAAATTCAAATTAGAAAGATATTAATTTAAGACCTTCCTTGAATAAATTTTTTATGAAAATACACAAAAACATTTAAAATTTAATGATATTCCTGATTTTTTTCTCATATTAAAAATTTTAGTTTGACAATAAAAAAAATTTCGAAGATATGAAAGTAATTTTTTACCAACTTGTATTTCAATAGCCTTATAGTTTTCTCTGTCGGCATTCAAAGAATTTGTTTATTTACCATTAAATAAAATATTACATCACTTCATACTTTAATTATTTTACTTACAGACGTAAAAGCTGTCAACTCAAATAACGATATAGTTGACTTCTAAAATTATTTATTTATTCAAGAAAGTTAAAATATTTTTAAACTACAAAAGTCAGTGCAGCATTATATACCACTTCTTAATATTTTATTTATAACAAAAAAATATTTTATTATATATAACCAGTGCAAATTAATATGCATATGTTAAATTTTTAGCAATAAATATCATTGTTATTTTAGTAGGATGCATTTTTGTTAAATTAATATTTTTTAACTAAGAATAATAGTTGTGAATGTTGAATTATTAGTTTACGTGTCAACTAAACTATATGTTTTATATATTACTTACACAGTATTGGGTTACAATATTTTACAGAATTGTTTATTATTTAAGTAATTGTATATTAGAATATTAATTTTATTTTAAGCGGTTAACATCTATGGGGTTCTTAGTTTAGTTCTTTTTAAGAAAATGTACATTAAGAATGTATTTAAGAAAATGTACATGTCTCTGACATTTCCTTGTTTGTTAATGGTTACTTATGATGTTGTTTTTACCCTCTTAAACGAAATTATCTATTCGCGTGGGAATAACTTTTCTCTTTTGTGTATGAGAATTCTCTCATTACTTGTTTAATAGTGACTATAATTTAGCTGCCATCCCTGACCTTCAAGTAACTTAATCCTTTTGTTGGTAAAAAAAAGAAGCTTCTTGAACATTCTTTTTCGTTCTGCATCACCGGTTTGGCAAACCCAATTTTAGAATTAGTTTTACCCTTTATTGCAAAATTTGAATTATTTGAATGAAATTTTAAACACTCATTGAATTCACAGTTGTTTTCCTGAGCCAACCATTTTTGGTTTCTAAGCCATCGAAGCTAACATAAAAGAATAGGCATGATATCAAAGTGTTACACTCAGTAAATTTTTCACTTATCTAATTTTTGATTTCTCTCTTTGATTTCTTACCAGAAACCTGATGGTAACTTAAATTGCTTAACTCCCTTGTTTTGTATATGCTGGGGCTTTTTTTTCAGAATAAATGTTTTCTTTTATTGGTAAAATTGTTCTCCAGTGATGTCTCCTTCATTTTGCTATAACATGGGTGAGTAATAAGTTTTTTTAACTTAAAATTTTTATTGTTTTCAAGCTGATGTGTTTTGTTGGAACTGGTTGCACTCGCTTTGTTTCTACACTGTACTTTTTAATTTTAAATTCTAAAGCCTTTTTGCGGCTGTTTTTTTATATTTATTTATCTTTTTGGTCATTTAATGTGTAGCTTTCTTCCATAATAATTCTTAATACCCTCACCATAGTCGGATTACCTTATAATAATACTAATTTCGGTTGTTTTAAAAGTTCTTCTCAGTTCCTTCTTGGTGATGTTTTTACAAATGTTTTATCTTGATTTCTTTTAAGGTCATGATTAAGCCTTTTTTTTTTCAATTCTTACAAATAATGAATGAAATACCCTAATAATGATTTCTGATAATTAAAAAAAAGAAATTTTTCAATGCTTAATAAAAGCTCAAAAGTTGAATTTGTGCATTTTTTTAAAAATTAAATTGGTGTTAATATATGTATCCATTTGTGTAAATATTTATAGGATGAACAAGAATAGATGAATTTTTACTTACGCGGAATGTCACTGAATTCTTGAAAGAAAAATTTGTATTTCAATTAGATTTAATAATATAGACATTTATTAATATTTAAATATTTTTAAATTCGCTATATGCGAGAGATAAATACAAATTCAAAATCTTTTATAGTACACCTAAAATTACATTTTATTGCAGTTACGCACTTAAATTATGATACATAAATGTAAAAAATATTTATATTTTCATTTACATATGTTTTCACAACTTAATATAGTTATAAATTATTACATGTATCTCATATTTTTTTTTCAACCCTACAATTTATCAGAAACTAGTTTTCTACCTTTTATTTTCAAAACATGCATATATCTACAGTTTTACTCCACGACAACATATGTTTTATAAAATGAATTTTTAAATGTTTGGGTAATATGTTACATACATATAGTTTGCAAAATGACGAACTAGTTAAATTATTATGTCAAATAAAAATTAAAATAAACTTTATATCTATTTCAAAGAACAACGAATGTTTTAAACACGGATATGTCTCGTAGCATGATATGTAATAAAAAGATAGAATATCATGGACGACACAATACAATTTTTTTTCACAATACAATTTTTTTTACAATTTCAAAGAATAACAAAAACACATTTAACAATCTAGTTTACAAACAATGTTTAAGAACTAACAATCATTTTCCAAAATCAAGAGGATTTATCGCTTTTAAGAAATATTTCAAGCATTCTCCTGCACTGCCACATTTAGACATCATCTCTTCCTAACTTTCTCATTCCGATGCTTGCGTGATACACTGTAAAAAATTCTCAAATTACAAAATAAAGCACCGGGACTTTGGGTATATCTACCGTAAAATCCATTTTAACTTAAAAAAACATATCGTAATTTTTGCAGTAATATTTATTTAATTATAGTGCAGTAATTAACTGTAAAACGTACTCTACATGAAGTTAGTAATTACCATAAATTATTACTTTATATCAGATTTTTTCGTTTTGTAACATATTCTGGACAAAATTGATTTTATGGTAAAAGGTTACTGACACTCTGTCTGCCGGTACATTTTAGAGTAATTCAGTTGAAATTTTTTACAGTGTTCACGATTTTCAACACTGTATATCTTAGAATACTTTTAAATTCTATGGTCATACACGTTAACCTTTGTATAAAATCGGGAATTTAATTAAAATTTTCAAGCTTTAACATTTACAGAGGACAGTATTGAGAATTACTAATAAGAGCACATAAGAACTTTCCTACTTACTAGAAAACTCTAAACAAAAATTTAAATTAAGTTACAACCAATCAAAGTAACATTATGATGTAAAAGATATTTTATAAAACTAAAAATTATATATTAACACAATCTACTTACGTACTAAATGCCATAAAAGGAAAATATAAATTAATTTTTCACATATGTAAATATTTGTATACTTATTTTAGATACATATAAAATTATGATAATGCAAAATGGAATAGAAAAAATTTCTGTCATAACTAGATTCGCAAATTTACAGCAGAGTTATTTTTATGAATGACTAACGTTTTTTTTTCTCAAAACCTCAAATTTCTTACTGAGAGAGTAAAAACTTGTTTTTTAAATGTAAGAATTAAAGACTTAAGGAAATAAAGTTTTTTTAGGATCTTGCTACTTAAAGTCCTCTTGTAGAAAACACGTCGCACTGTCAGATAATAAGATTAGCTTACACTGTAAAAAATTATGGATCAAATTTCGATATAAAGTACCGGCATATTAGGTGCATCATCAGTAAAATCCATTTTCGCAGTAAAATATTCTACTATAGATTTTACTGTAATATTTATTTAACTGTAGTCATTCAATGATTTTAAGGTAATTATTACTTTATTTTTATTTATTTATTAATTTTTATAACCGCCGTTGAACAGCCGACCCAATTTTATGGGTTTACGACTACTAATGTTCAACTCCACAGCCTTGTAATTTTGATTCCAATCCAGAAGGCAAGGGAACTCCTGGATCGAGTATTTTTATTTTATTTTATAACCGTCGTTGAACAGCCGACCCAATTTCATGGGTTTACGACTACTTACGTTCAACTCCGTAGCCTTGTAATTTTGAACCAATCCAGAAGACAGGGAAACTCCTGGATCAGTACCCCCAGAGGTATTGATTTGTTGTGGGAACATGTCGGACTTTGAGACTCGACAGATTTAACGTGCATCAGTCACCATTTACTACACGGAGAGTCTTCGGCCGGCGAGAGAAATTTGCCCTCGTGGAAGGCTCTTTTTCATGGAGCTAACCCGCATTTAAGTTACATGGAGAGGAAGACTACGAGAACCGCCCACGGTTAGCCTAATGGCAAGGGGACTCTAACCCAAGATCCGTCTACCACTGACGATATTTCACGCCAGCTAGTCGGCTAACCAGATGCGAAATTCGTATCGACTGGGATTCGAACCCGTTTCGCTTCATTGGAAGGCGAAGGCTCCATCCCCTCAGCCATCGCGGCTCATGGTAGTTATTATTGTCAAAAATTACGTTATATCAGATCTATTGTTCAGTAATATGTAGCGGTACAAAGTACCGGCACTCAGAGGGTCGGTACTTTTTATCCGGAATTTTTTCCAGTGCATGTCGAAGCAAATATTGCAGTAGAGTATATTGAAAAGTCTTTTTTCTATTCATTTGTTAAGGAAATTTTGTAATTTAAAGTAAAACTAGGTAAATTAACATCAGGTTTTCTGAACAAACAAGACATATAGTACTTATATAGAGGCAGTTTATACAGTACGTTTCTCTCTTTTTCATTTTCCTTTTATCAAATTTTCAAATCTGTTGTCCTTTTTCAGGACATCCAGTAAGTTTATTACACTAGATAGACAAAAAAGCAGTTATTTTTCCCTAAACAGATCACTATTTTTACAACTTAACTTTATTTCTTTGTTAAATTCAAAAGTTTAATTTCAAATTCCAACTTTTTAAATACTATATCGAAATCATTAGTTAATGAAAAATTATTAACAGGTAAAATAAAAGGATTTTACTTACATGCTGTAAGAAAATTTCAAAAAATTTTAAAACAATTAAAATATGAATTATTATTTTTAACAGTATTTAAAAGATCTATGCACTCGACGTAATGAATTATTTTTCTAATTTTGAAAGTCTATTTTAATTTCTTTTTCTAAAAATACTTTTTCAGCTGGAACAATAGTCAAAATTGTAAAAATTTGAAATCACATTATAAAAACAAATGATTTTTATCATTCTGTATCTTTCAATACAATAAGTTTTTTTCACTTATAAATTATAGTTCATATAAATTTTACTCATAAATTAAGCTTTTAAGAAATTTAGGATTATTTTTCTCTTATTTTCAATAAGGTGAAAGAACATTAATGTCGTAACACCATCGGTAATTTCACCAGGAAAGTAAGGTGACATAAATATTTTTTTTGATCTCGAAGAATATCTAGAGCTCTGAGAGAACAAAATTATCCTAACTTATCCTTAACTTTGATTCAGAATTATATCGTACTTAAAATAAAATACTTATCGCTTAATTTATTTTTCATTACTTTTTTTGTTATCAATTTTATTTATTTTATTTTTATTTATTTATTTATTTAGTTTGTTATTTTATTCAAAAACAATAGGCGAAATTTTTTAATTATTCATGAACTTTTTATAAGAAAGTAGAAAACAAATATTCTTGAAATTAATTAGTAATTTTAAACCTGAAATCAAGTAAGCATTTAATTCATGATTAGATAAATAATATAAGCTATTTAAATTTTATCCATTTATTTTTTATCTATTTCTTAAGTTTCTTACAATTATTTACATCATTATCTTTAACTTTTTTTTTACATACTTTAAACAATTATTTCACAAAATAATAATTTTTAATAGAAATATACTGTATTAAGGATAAAATATAAATACCTTGTCCTGGTGATCCTCCTCCGCCACCTTGTGGATCTGAAGAAGATATTAGCTATCTTTATATTAGATTCAAAAAGGATACATTAATATGGTAATTATTCTTCCATACTATTCTTATTTAATTTTATACAAAATCTAATTCATAATTACTGTGTAATGAAAATAAATTTATTAATTTTGAGCACTTAAACTTCCCAATATTTTAAAAATAATAATAAATTAGCAAGAAAACAAAAAATCTTACTTCCAACTTCTAAAATTAAAAAAAAAATCAATTGTAATAAAATTAAATATAATTTCTAGAAATTCAAATGCCCTGTCCAAAATGCAACAGGCACTAAATAATATGTTAACAAAATTCAATAAATCAAAAAAGTAAAAAAATGGTTTAACTCCCAATATTTTTTTTGTTCTTTAAAATATGCATTGATATTTTATCATTTCAAATGAGGTCATTAGATTCATCACACCCATTAACATTATTTAATCATTTCATCATCCTACAATGCTAATCATTGGTTTCATTTCAAAATTTATAGCATTTATTAGAATAAATGAGAATAACAGGGTTTTTCTTAAAGAAAATACAAATAGTAAAAGCTAATGCAATAACCATATCTTTCCAATACACTTAATATTGATGGTAAGATTGTTGTTAAACCAATAATTACTTATAAAAAGATAGAACAAAAAGTGGGATTTTAACATTTTTAAAACTATTTGCTAACAATGAACAGCAACAAAAATATAAACTAGTATAGAGCATGCATTTTTAAAAGAAGCAATTCATAACTTACGGTATGTTGGTATACCTAAAATAACAATTTGACTTTAACACAACAAGGCCAAGATAGTGAAGCAAAGGTACATGAATCAAAAACAGTAAGGCAAAGGTTTAAATTCATACTCTGTTAGAATTTTCATTCTAGAATTATGGTAAAATAATCGGCAGCAGTTTACCCATCCAATTAAAAGTCAAGTTTACGTTAAAGAACATTTTTTACCTTTACAGTTTTTAAACCACTTACAATTATCATAGTTTCAAAACTACGAAAAAAAAATTTAACTGCACACCAGAAATAATTCAGCAACATTGTGGTGCTGCCATCTGTGACAGTGTATTCTAATACCACAGTATTTATTGTCATCTAATTTTGCATTCTAACAGCAAAGGGTCACAAATTGCGGAGTGTTGGACACTGGATACTTTTCATGTAATAAAGAAAATGAAGGAAATATTATAGTGTCAAGACTGGGACTTAAATCTCATTTCTGTCATTCATAAGATTGACAGATAAGTCTCTCGGCTATAATACGTACCCACTTCCAGGCAACCTAGTGGCTTCATTAGGTGGATCTAGCTGGTGCTATAAAATTCTAGTTGATTAACCGTATTAAATTAAAGTAATTACTAAACAGTTTTGGATCACAGTTGGCAGTTTGAATACCAACCAATTTAGGATTATTTGACTTTTTTGTTTGAAAATTTTAAAATAACAATTAAATACATTAGTATTTAACCATTTTTTAAGAACAATTTCTAACACTGTACAATACACTCCATTTGAATTTTAGTCTATTTATCCAGTTTCCCATTCAATTACGCGAAACAAAAAATAAAAATTTGCTGAAATTTTTTGAATATAGATATTAAGAGAAAATGATAACTAGCATAAAATAAAAGGAATAAATCTATCGGTAAAACAATAATTTGAATTTATGAGGTAGAATGATACGAAAATGGGTTAAAAGTATATATATATATATTATATTATATTATATTATATTATATTATATTATATTATATTATATTATATTATATTATATTATATTATATTATATTATATTATATTATATTATATTATATTATATTATATTATATTATATTATATTATATTATATTATATTATATTATATTATATTATATTATATTATATTATNTATATATATATATATTATATCAAAATAGCAAGAATTTCAATTTATTCTTTCACGTATTCAATTATTTCAGTTTATTGTTTACAAATGTTTTCAACTAATAATCATGAACCTTCTCTACACATTAATAATTGAGTTTTTAAAAATGCAGTGAATGATCTCCAGTGGTTGATGTGTTTTATTTTTAACTAACACGCCGACGATAATAAATTTTCTTTCTTTCTTGTAAGTTGTTTAGTATCACATTTATTGTGTAAGACATGCTCGCATTCTTTGATTAATTCTACAATTTTCATTTAAAAAGAGTCTGCAGAAAATTTTTTTAGATATGACTTGGATATTTTAATGTAATTTTTAATACAGAAGCATAGTTTAAGAACAGTATAAATGAAAACTAAAAAATATTTCGTTTCAATTTGCATTTAAAAACTCTTAACTAAATACACATGAGAAATAAAGCAAAAGGATCTAGAATTTTATACTTACTATCTCCACCTCCTCCTCCTCCTCCTAGAATGTGTAAAAAATGTTTCAAACTTAAAAACATGCAAAACTTGTAATTATCAACCTGGTATAGAAAACTTTAGACTATTTGACCTTATGAGAAATGCGTCTTTTAAGTTTTTTAAACGTTATTTCAAAGTTTAACTAAAAAATGCCAACATGAAAATTACTATAAAATGTATCACATTTTAACTTTTAGCCATTTACAGATCGAATACAGAAGGTATTCACTATATTATATTTATTTCTCATTAAATTCACATTTTTAAAAGTTGTCGTAGTACTTCGTACCATATGTAAACGGATGGTTATGTGACAAAACCTTTTTTAAAAAAAATTTGGAACGACTTTTGCTGTTATCAGAAATTACGTATATTTTAGTTAATAAGGCTGAATAGGTTGAATTTTGTTTAGAATAATAAGCCTTTTTGAAAACAAATTTGGAATGACTTTTGCTGTTATCAGAAATTACGTAGATTTTAGTTAATATGGCTGAATAGATTGAATTTTGTTTAGAATAATAAGCCTTTCTGAAAACAAATTTGGAACGACATTTGCTGTTATCAGAAATTACGTAGATTTTAGTTAATAAGGCTGAATAGGTTGAATTTTGTTTAGAATAATAAGCCTTTTTGAAAACAAATTTGGAACGACTTTTGCTGTTATCAGAAATTACGTATATTTTAGTTAATAAGGCTGAATAGGTTGAATTTTGTTTAGAATAATAAACCTTTTTGAAAACAAATTTGGAACGACTTTTGCTGTTATCAGAAATTACGTAGATTTCAGTTAATTAGGCTGAATAGGTTGAATTTTATTTAGAATAATTATTGGGGGAATGCAATATAATACAGTAGAATAAAAAGAATATGATGCATGTTTAGTATTTAAAAAGCTGCTAAATGCGAAAATTTAATAATGTTATTCTTATTGGTTTTTTGTACATCAGTTTGCAATATTAAAAATTGCAATAAAAACTTCCACTTTAATAATTATGCATTTTTTTTACTGGTATTGCAACTTCATATTGAAAAAAACTTGCAACTTATATTTAAATAAACTAATTAAACAAGTCTGAGTTACAAAATACTTTGTTTTAATAAGATATTGAGTATTTAAAAATGAGAAGCAGAAGTTAAAATTTTTTCAACAAATATGTCCCCGAATATGAAATTTCCCTTTATGTAGAAGTAAAATTAGAAAAAAATATTAAAAAAATAAGCGTAAAAAAATAAAACTGTATATCAAGTTGTAAGGTAATTGCTACTTACCTCCACCACCCCCATCTAATAATATAAATTTGTATTGGTGAAAAAAAAACAGAATTATCAAAAACAAACCACTTTAACATAAAATAACTAGCAATACTGCAGCTTGAAAATTAGAAAAATTTGATGTAAATGATTAGGTAAATCATCTTCAACTCGAAACTATTTTTTTATTAAATTCGTTTTAATAACTTGTCGTTAGCACTAATATTAAAGACGAAAAAAATAAATGAATTATTACAAGTGTATTAATTTTATAGTTGCCTTTGAATGTGTAACACGTCCATAAAAAGCGCTAATGTCTATGAAAAAACGCTAATCATATTTTAAAATTATAGCAATTACGGTACGCATAGATTCTGTAATTTACTGGTCATATATTTTTAAAGCAAGCAGTCTGTCTACTTAAAACCAGTTGGAAGGTTTAAAAAAATACTTCCAGCTTTCAACAGAGTATTTTATTTTTTGTATTTTTTATTTATTTATTTACTTTATTTTGAAGTTAAATCCCACAACATTAAAATGTTCATATAGGTAAATTTCAGAGCATAGAGCATTCAGTTGAATTAGAAATCTTCAAACTGCATGAGAATTTTCTATTGTTAATCTGTTATATTTAATCTGTAAATCTGTTAAAATTTTGGATTACTACGTTTAATTAACAAATTGATTCTACATGTTTTTTCCTAACATTTTACGGTGTAAAAACTGAATGACTCAGTCCTTCAAAATATATTCAAACTGCATGATAATTTTCTGTTGTTAATCTGTCATATTTAATTCGTAAATCTGTTAAAGTTTTGGATTACTACGTTTAATTAACAAATTGATTCTACATTTTTTCCCTAGCATTTTACGGTGTAAAAACTGAATGTCTCAGTCCTTCAAAATATATTCAAACTGCAACGACAATTTTCTGTTGTCAATCTGTTATATTTAATCCGTAAATCTGTTAAAGTTTCGGATTACTACGTATAATTAACAAATTGATTCTACATGTTTTTCCTTAACATTTTACGGTGTAAAAACTGAATGACTTAGTGCTTCAAAATATATTCAAACTGCATGAGAATTTTCTATCGTTAATCTATTATATTTAATCCGTAAATCTGTTAAAGTTTCGAATTACTACGTTAAATTAACAAATTGATTCTACATGTTTTTCCCTAACATTTCACGGCGTAATAACTGAATGAATCAGTCCTTCAAAATATATTTAAACTGCATAAGAATTTTCTATTGTTAATCTGTTATATTTAATCTGTAAATCTGTTAAAATTTTGGATTACTACGTTTAATTAACAAATATATTCCACATGTTTTCCCTAACATTTTGCTGTGTAAAAATTGAATGACTCAGTCCTTCAAAATATATTCAAACTGCATGAGAATTTTCTATTGTTTATCTGCTATATTTAATCTTTAAATCTGTTAAAATTTCGGATTACTACGTTTAATTAACAAATGGATTCTACATGTTTTTCCCAAACATTTTACGGTGTAAAAACTGAATGACTCAGTGCTTCAAAATATATTTTCTTAAATATAATCATTCTGATATATATCATGTTAAAATATAAAAGACTATTGAGTAAATTATCGAATTTTAGTGCTTTAAAAAGTAATTTTCTCTATTTGAGGAAATATTTAAATAAATTATTAAGTGATATTTTTATTAATTATAAAATTATACATAAAAACAGACAAAAAAAACACTGAGACATTAAAGTAACTTAATTTTTTTAGAATCTCTTTTTTTTGGGGGGGTGGAATTATACTGAAAAAATTTTGCGCAAAATAATGTGAATTGTCCAAAATAATCATCCTAAATAACGTGAACTAAAATTTTTTGTTTGTTTGTTTTCTTATTGAACTTTAATAAAACTTTATATTCAATTATTTATTATAATCTTTTTGCCGTTTCCCTTTGTTCTGAATAGAATACATTTTAAACGGAATTGAACATAGTTCTAAAATGAGTAGGTTAGCAAATGTACATAAATTCTATGAAAATTCTGAACGATCAGAAATAGTTCAACCAATAGAAGTTAAATAAATAGCAAAATATAATATGTAAAGAGCTTGTAACTTACTTAATTGTTCTGAAATGAAACAAAATTATTAATAGTTATATACAATTAATTTGTGCTATGATGAATAAATATTAATACTATAAAAACTTTTTAACTTTAAAAAAGTAACTCCAGACTGTTAGAAAATTTCAAGTATAATATTGTACTGCTATATTACATTTAAATTTGACTTTATTTAATTTTTTGGAGATATTTATTTTGTTACTTGAGACGATTTTAAATGTTTCTGATGAGTCGCAGAAGAAGATTTCTTTTGCCCTCCCGATTGACACTCGCAATTCAGGTACCAGTAGGGCAGATTTCCGGACCACTCTTTCAGAGCATCATATTAGGTCACCAACGTTGCTTTGTAACAGTAAGGACGTATAGTAGAGAGACAAAAATAACATTTATGCATTATCCGGGATTTGAGACCAGAACCTTTGTAATTTGAGGTCAGCTTCTTGTATAATTTTGCAAAATTTTCCCAAATTTTATGCAGAAACACTTCGTTTCTGTGTCACTTGGATGATCGTTCCCTTGACAATTATTGTCGAATAAACATTGGCATCCATTTCCCCTGCTTAAGACCTATTTTAATCCTACCCTTAGCTACGACTTTATTAGCCAGCTGAATAGAAAGATAGACAAACAAATAATATGTATTAAATTTGCTATTACCAATTCTAATAAAATTATTTTGGATAAAGAGTTAAAAAAGTCATACGTAATTCTTGAAAAAACTACTCATGTTAATAACAAAATAGATAGAAAGAATATTAATAATAAAGAAAACACAGAAAGGGCTCATCTATCAGAATTTTCTAGGTACAATCCCACTTAACAAACTAAAATTATCTCATGAATAACAAATAACTACCTTAAATACTATTTACATTAAATACTTAAGTGGTTTAAAAATAGAATTATTAGTTTAAAATTTACTTTTAATGCAAGTTTTATGTTAAATTTAATGTTTTAGTTGTTTTTTTCTTATTAAATCTGAAATTAAATTAATTTTAAAAAAATACGAAAATGACTTGACAATATGTTGTCTTATCAAAAGTCTCCTTTTTATTTCCTTATTCAAAGTCTTCTTCATAATTTAAAAATTAAAAATTAAAAGCATTCTCACATGTTATTATTCCCATCCACTATTTCCTATTTTTAAATTGGAGTATGTAAGAACTAACATTTTAAGGTCTTCCCTAAACCGAACTGGGAGAACTGTGGAAATCTCTCGACCAAAACTTTGTATGAGTCACAGAATAATTCCTTCTTTGCATGTGACTTAAGATTTCACCTGGAAACTTTCTCAAGATTTTCCCTAATTTTTATACCGGAGCACTTTCTTCTGAAAATCATGGTTATGTTTAAATGAATATTGGCGCCAAGATATTTTTAACAATTTGACTGATATGCAAATGAGTAGTAGTAGCAATCGCAATTTTTATTTAGATTTCCTTCCAATCTTATCTCTGTAAAGAAATTAATAAGTTTTAAATAAAATACTTACGTTTCAAGTTTTCAATTTGAGCACCTGAAATAGTTATTAATTAAAATAGTTTGCTGAGAAAGATTTTAAATTTGTTTTCTTAATTTTAATAATGCTAAGCATATATTATGGTGATGATGATGAAGTATATGTTTTAACTGTTTCTTTGTTCGCGAAAAATACTTTTTTTTAATAGTTTAAATTCAATTGCAATTTGTAGTACCTGTCTAAAACTTTCAAACTTTTCTTCATAAGTAATTGCATTTATTTTCTGTTTCTTAATTTCCTTTTATTTTCAATAAGAGATGGATTATTCGATTCGTTTATTAATAACATGATATTATAAATAATTCAAAAGTTCTTAGTTAAAAATACTGTACACAATGGTAAATGAAAAGATAACAAAGAATACAACTATTTTTGAAGGGAATATAAATAAAGAAGAAAATCAAACTTACTTCCCAACTGACTTAAAAGAGCCTCTGAAAATTAATAGCAGCAATGTTTTATCCTTATGTTTCTGAATGAAAAAGTTACAATATTTCTTAAGCATTAAAGTATAAACTTAAAAAGTGCTTTTTATGCATAATCGAGAGATTAATAAAAATACACTGACATTATTACTATCTTTCAAACTCAAACAGAATCAAGGAATAAATATTCACAAATTGGGAGTTAATCAAAACATGCAAATAAAGTTAATTAAAACCAAATTTATTTATCGCAAAGTTAAATAAAACTACATTTATATTAAAATCCAAATAAATTGTCTACACACCAAAAGCTGCCAATTTAATTTTAAATCGAACAAAAAGACACTATCAAAATATGACATATCATAGTAAAGGATAATAGACAAAAAACAACAGCGTTAATTTAGTGTTGAAACTTGAATGTGGTTCTAATAAACGTCTTTCAACTGCACCTTACTTCTAAGTAAAGGATTAAAACATCAAATAAATATGTTCACGTTAAACCACTAGCAACTGTTTCGTAAAAATATTTAATTATTTCTTTCTTTGTACTTTTAATGCCTGGTAAAATATTTAGAATATTTCTGTGTGTTTTCTTGCTGTAAAAAAGTTTTTGAAAAATTAATAGTTCATTTTTTGCTCGTAATTAGGACACACTAATAAACTTTAACAAAAATAAAAAATTTATGTTAAATTTATCTTTATTGTAAGCGAAATAATGTACTATTATGAATAAATTGCGTAGTTAAAAATATTTTCTCCTGATATCTACTGATAATCTATAATTTCAATAGAAATCTTCAATTTCTCTACGATAAAAATCATTTAACTAAATTAGTTTCATGTTTTTAAAAGAACTTTTATCCTGATTTGCTTTGATTTCATTTACTTATACTTACGTGGAATTTGACTAAAACCTAGAAATATTGATTTTATTAAATTTCAGATGCATGGCAAAATATTTAAATTTTTTTTA